ATATATATAGCTATATAGTTGTATGTATATCTCTCTTCAGTGAATGTGATTCGTTCCTACCCAGTTCATTTTGTATGAACAAATCACACCGCATGTGGACACTGCTAGGATAAACAAAATGTAGATAAAGGCGGATCATGGAAGAATAACTGGTCATATAGTACATCAATAGGGACAAACAACATCGTACATAAAGAGAAGAAGAACTGGTCATCTATTACATATACACATGCACACGCGTCCATGTTTTTATATGTATACTTGTATTCGCAGACCATAGTACTGTTCGTCAGATCGTCTTCATTTTGGCCATTCTGTTCTTCATATACAACAAATTACACAGAATGTGGAAATTGCCGTGATAGATGAAATACAGATGATTGCAGATGAGGACCGAGGGTGGTGGTGGGTGCGTGCTGTATTGGGTGTGCCAGCCAAAGAGGTGCACTGTTGTGGAGACCATACGGCCCTGTCCCTTTTAAAAAGGTTGACGGACATCACCGGGGACAATCTGATTGTACACGAGTACACGCGCTTGTCTGAGCTGGAGGTAGGTTTGTATCAATAAATCTCATACTCATCCATACATATATATATATATATATATATATATATATTATATGTATGTATGTATGTATGCATATATATACGTATATATATGTATATGTATATATATATATATATATGTGTGTGTGTGTTTGGTGTATATGTATATATATATACATATATATTCATTTATATATTATATATGTATGTGTGCGTGTGTGTGTGTGTATCCATAATATATATATATATATATATACTTATAAATTAAACTATTTGTCGTAATTTACTTACGGTTTATATCCCCCACTACTTCTTAACTCACAATTCAATGTTGGCACTCCTTGTAGGTGTGCGACAAGGATGGTATCCTCCATACTCTGGACCAGGTTGAACCAGGGGATTCAGTTGTGTGTTTCTCTCAGAAGAACATACACAACTATAAAACAGAAATCGAGCGCAATTCAAGGTGAGTTCGTGGTCCCTGTATGCACAATCGGATGTGGGGTTGTATTAGCTATATGCCAAAGACGCGACGAAATAGAGCATCTATATGTGTTTGCATTATGCAGAAGTATAACTGATAATAGTAGGAGAGTGGTGTTGTTTTGTGGCCTTGTGTTAGGGTAATGTATTTATAAGTGTAGCTGACAATAGGGGTATGATAGTGTTGTTTGCAACCTCATGACCATCTTCTAGTATGTATATATATATATATATATATGTGTGTGTGTGTGTGTATATATATACACATTGCAACATATACTACAAATGCACCCTTTACTTTATCACACATGTATGCCTACAAACATATAGGATCACAACATATGTACATGCTTAATACTAATACTTACACATGCACATGCTATGTACTTACCGTGTGATATGTTTCCTCTCATGCAGCCTCAAGTGCTCAGTGGTGTACGGCAATCTACCACCGGAGAATCGCAAGCGACAGGCCGAGATGTTCAACAATAAGGAAACTCAGGTAGATAAATGTGGATGAACGTATATGGACTCATGTGTATACACACGCATGTGCACCTCCCACGTATATATACATGTGTAAAACGTATACGTATACGTATGCAGAATATTTGTAATACAGCAACACTCGCAGATCTCAAATTTGTGAACACAGATTACAGGGGCACACAATGACCTTATCACGAAAAATTCAGAAACATATGTATATATATGTATATGTTATATATATATATTAAATAATATTATATATATATATATATGTATATATATGTATGTATGTAAATATGTATGTGTGTTTGTATGTATGTATGTAGGTATGTATTTACGTATACATGTATATT